AACACGTCTACCATGGTTCGTCTCGATCCAACGGATGCCACGTTCGTCACGGCGATTCACACCGATTGCAATCCTTTTATCAGCGGCGGCCTCGGTATCACTCAACCCGTTGCGCATATCGATTTCTATCCAAACGGCGGCCGCAATCAGCCTGGCTGCAACGAGGGTGTTCTAAATTTCATTACCTTGGAACGAGGCAGCTTCTTTCACGGTGAGCTTTCTTTTTCTTCTTTCTGTTTCGTAATTTATTTCAGTGGTAGCGTTCGTCGTGCCAGAGAGAGTTCTCCGTAGAAACGATTACGGAAGGTTAAAAGTTCATATTGACTTGAAATTAATTATGTTGTATTCCGCGGCTCGCGATTCCTTGCGTTGGTTTATTATATTCAATAGGTACGCGGTAGGAGAGCCTGACGGAAACTGGGGCGAAATAAGGGAGCTGTTCTGCGCGTAGTACTATTCGACTTTATTAGACAGTTCGGTGACGTTCGGTGCGTGAAGACCACTAGACAAAAATCTGCCGTTTCGACGGAAAAGGTTTCTAGATATAGGTTCGGTAAGTACGAGAGTAAGGGTTGGTCTCAGAGGTGAATGTAGGGAGAGGCGGTGAGGTCTAGGTTCAGCGATGAGTAAAGGATGATGTGGAGGTCTAGGTTTCGGGGTGACTAACGTTAGGATGATGCGGATTTGTTTACAGTTAAGGAAAGGAGGCTGGATGACTAAAAACTAATGAAAGATAGGAGAGAGGTATACGACAATTATAAAATTAATCGATAGGAGTAAGTAATGCTTTATGATAATTTGTGAATTTGTAAGACACTTTGTGTACGTTTGTAATGCTTTGCACCGAGTGTTATTGTTATATTAGTATTAATAGTTACGTTAAGTATTGTTGTCGTAACTTTCAACGTAAGTATCGATAATACCAATGCAATATTTATTAATGCTTTATTGCACGTTACATTAAGTATTATTACGAGGAATCAGGATTGAGCAGGTAGCAAGTGGGAGACGAGATGAAAAGGCCGGAACACGGCTTGAGAAGTTGAGAAAGAAGAGAAAAGAAAGAAGAGAGCGTAACTAAGAGCACCAGAGAGAAGCTAATTAAAATTACGAAAATTTTAGAGAATAGGAAAAGGTGCGATCTACAGGAAAATAATAGAGTAGGGTAGAGTATAGTCTGTGAAAATAGGATAATGTGAACCAAAGTCTAATTAGCTACAAGGCTGAATAAAACATAGGGGGAGTTCCCCTAGCGCCGGACGCTTAAGGTTTTTCTTAAATAAATCTCTCTACCTGTGCACACGCGACTGAAACGCGTAGAAAACTTATTTTCATTCCTTTTGTCTCCTCTAGGAGATACGCAGAATAACGGCTCGGTAGCGTTTCAATTATAGATATTAGGTGCCGTCCGGCGTTAAGGGAACTCCTTATATATATTATGTAGCATTATTTTTAGTATTATTATTATTACATAAATTTTGAATAAGAGTGCAATTGTGCAAAGTATTTACCTACCCAAAATGGAAATTCTGAAAGAAGACAGAAGTCCGTGAAAAAATCAATGTTTTCGTTAAAATTACCTGAAGACGATCTTAGTGAATGGTAAATCGAATAATTTTCTATAAAATTTAAATATACAACTTCTCTGATATAGAAGTAATCTCTCATAAGATATAGGTAATAAAGGAATATGATTAAATTTTGGTATAAATAATTTGAACCGGTAAAAATGATTGATTTCAGGAATAAAAAGGTTCCTCGGCTGCAATCATATACGCAGTTACGAATACTTTCTGGAAAGTATCAACACGAAGTGTCCATTTTTGGCGGTTCCTTGCTCCTCTTGGGACAAGTTTCAAGAGGGTAGCTGCTTCGATTGCGTGAACCAATACTGTCCAAGGTTCGGACTGGATGCTCAACCTGGAAATTACCACGCTGCCGTTTATCTGATAACGGGGTCGGGCAAGCCATTTTGCAGTTAGTACACGTTAATTCGTATTCCTAGTATTTAACCCTAGTGCGTTCTTTCGTTCTTGCACACTTGAGGTTTTTGGGTCTTTTTTGACCCAAGGGTCTCAGGTGTAACAATTTTTGTTACCAGCACGCCGTATGAACTTAGGTAATGAACTTTCGATGTAATGTTAAGGGAACATCAATTTGATAACAGCAAAAGTAATTAAAAAGATAAGACGATGGGTCAAAAAAGACCCGAGGACCGCTCTAGGGTTAACCTCGTTAACCCCTTAACCTATGATTTCTTTTTCGACTGTGCATCTAAGTGTCAGCCATTCACTGTTTCAATACTGTATCAAGTAACAAGAGCTGATCTGTTACAGAGTAATTACATTTAGTAATTCCCAGTCTTACAAATTGAAACGAAAGTTAGGATTACGTTGAATTTTTCTTTCTAATGTAACCATTTTTGTCACATTAGGACCAGGAACTCTGCCACGAGTCTGACTCGTTGTTATAGGTTAAAGGGTTAAAACTAACATAAATGTAGTACTAACCTTCTTACGCTCTTTTTTTCCAAATTTGACGCGTGTCCGTAGAGATAGGGACCTACTAGGGTGGACTGAAAAGTTCACGGCCTAAGTATGAAGGATTGCAGCTAAGTGCTTGTAATTTTTACCGAATAATATGTAATTAATTGTGCACTAATGTATACAGTTTCGTATCTCTGTCGTCATTTTTCTCCCTTTTAGAGCTAGTGAAGTAGAGGTATTTGCAGTAGATGAAGTAGAGACGGACAAAATTAGAAAACGAACAGCGATCCAATACCTGAAGATAAAGGACCTCGCTTCAAAGAACATTCAAGGACCTTGCAAAAATTATTCGAAATTCTTGCGAAAATCATTCAAGGTCCTTGCGGTGATGTCCTTTGTCACCAGGTACTGGATCATTCCTCGCTTCTATTCGTCTCTTCTCCGTCGCTGTAAACACCCCTACTTCACCAGCTGTAAAAGAGAGCCACGAAACTTCGTACGTCGGTACACAAATGATCACAGATTACACCGTAAAAATTGCAAGCACCTAGCAGCATAGGCCGCGAACTTTTCAATCCGCCCTCGTATATAAGAAATGTCCGTAAAACTAGTGTTAAACAAAACAGAGAATGTTCTTTCACAATTTACTTTTTTTTCCTGTAGAAGGCCACTACAAGGTGACCATCAACATCTCGAAAACGAACGAGAGCCTGGACCACGGTGGCGAGGTTGGCACGTTCGTGATCAAAGTGTTGGGCAAAGACGAGAAAGAGACAGAGAAGATGCCTCTCAGTCTTCATTCCAAGTACTACGAACCAGGTAGTACGCATACGGTGATATTAGCAGGCGACGTGGTGGGCAAACCGGAAGCAGTCGAAATCTCGTGGGAATATCGAGCCTCCGTTTTCAATCCGCTCACGTGGAGGCTCTTGCACACGCCGCGCGTTTACATCGACTCGTTGAGAGTGGACAGTTTGGAGGCCTCTCATGGGTATGTATACAGCGTTGAGATGATTTCGACGTGATCTTCGGGATAAGAGAATTTCAAACAGATCTGAGCGTAATTTGAGGAAAGTGATGTCACGCGAGAGAACACAGGACGAAGAACAAGACAGAGTGTTCTAATCCGAGAATACAGGGGAGAGTTGGTGAAATCGTGAAATTAGACGTTTAACTCTTTGAAGCACAGAATTTTAAGACAAAAACAGACTCTTGTTGCACAGGAGTTTTATTTTAAAAAAAATGTAGAACTTAGAAAGAAAAAACGTTGAGATAATTAATTATTAGGTGGGACGTAAATAATCTCACCATGAAATTTGTGAAAACAGGTTAAATTAGATTAGTTTTGTTTTCTTAATGTTCCAAAGTGGGACGAAGAATATCCCACTGTGCATATGTAAGTACTAAAAAAGGTGGGACACTTTTTACCCCACTATGCCCCAAAGTGTTAAGTGGTGTTTACTGAAATTAATACAAAAATCACTTGTATTTTTCATTCGATGCTAATTTGTTAACACGTTAATATTTTTTATAACGATTCAATATTTTCTGATATTCTATTAATAACAGTAATCAATTAACAATATTACTGTCACTTATAGTTTTCATTCGATACTAATTTGTTAACACGTGAATAGCTTTTCGAACGATTCAGTATTTTCCGATATTTTATTAATATTTACAACTTGACAATGTTATTAATGTTTAGTACTCCATCTTATTTCAATGTGTATAATATTTCCAAACGACAGAATACCGAGAATTATCCGCCTGTTTGCTAAAAACTAAACTGACATATTATTTTTATGGTGGTGAAGTCTGAAGCATGGTAGTTTTACAAAATTGAATAGTTCAATTATAAATTCTTATTCTTTTCACGTTTGCAAGGTTCTATTGTCCAGTGACTATTTTTTAATATATTCGTTCATGATAGAAGTTCAAATGAGGGATTCAGGAAGGATAGTTTCACCGTCACGTGATTACTAATTATCGCTTAATTAATTTCACGAATCTGATAAGTTATTCTGTACGAAGAATCTCTGACGGAATGCAAAATTATTAGAACTAATTGTATTACTCTTTAATCTCTATACAAATTAGCTGCAATTAATGTTACACCTAATTCCTATAAACGCGTGAAACAAATAAAAATTGAATTAACTTCGTCGCGAGATTCGCAGTGAATCGATGAATTTAGAAAAATATTCAAACTGCGCTCTAAGCTGTAAAAATATTCAATCACATCGAGCCTTTCATTTTTTCCGACATTTTTTTACAATTTACTAACTTTCTAATTCTCATAAACGCGTGAAACGACGAAAAATTGAATGAACTTTCTCATAAAACTCGTAATGAATTCAAAATAACTACGAATCGTAATAAATAAAAGGAACATTCCGTCTGATTTAGCCTTCAATTAGCAATATCGGCGAATTACAATAATACGCAGAACATTTTACTCAGCTTTCGTTTAACCTTCAATTAAAGATAATTACGATTTGTAATAAATCAGAAAAATATTTCGTCCAATTCAGCCTTCGTTTAGCCTTCAATTAAACGTAATTACGATTAGTAATGAATAAAACAAAAACAAAAATTCTACGCAACTTAACCTACATTCTTTCTAACAATTTCTCAACGTTCTCTGTCCAATTTAGCATAACCGTGTGCCCGGACGCAACCAAGACTTTAAGCGCCAACGAGCCGAAGATTTTAACGACGTTCAACTGTCAGAGCTCTAACAAGAAATCCCTCGTGAAAACCATCATGAAAAAAGGTCTTTCAGCGTGAAATTTGCACCGACGAAATTACCAGAAAATTACCATTTCACACAACTCATTAACAAGAACCAAAAAAAAAAAAAGGAAAAAGAATCAAAATCTCGAATTTATTTAAGCGCCGATTAGTTTCGTAAGAATTATCGTAGAGTTAAATAATTGTTAATTTAAATATCTAGTTTTATATCGTTACGAAGATAGTTTAACACATTGAGCGCCGGCGACCTAAGAGACATTTAAAGCCTGAGCGCCGGCAACGTATCGGCCACTTAAAGCCCAAACGCCGGCCTCATTCGCTTGTTTCTGATCAATGAGTAGCCAAAAAAAATATTCAAAACATTGTACATTTTCGTAAAATAGTACGTTTTAATTGCATATTCGTCATATACAATTTAACGTAAATGAAAAATAGACACCCATACCAGCAAGAAAAATTCCACATCATCGTGGGGCCGGCGCTCAAGCGATAGACCCAGAAATCCGCATTATCGCGGGGCCGGCGCTCAGGCGATAGACCCAGAAATCCGCATTATCACGGGGCCGGCGCTCAATGTGTTAAGGGAGCCCCGAAAAAGGCACGAGGCTTTTCGTCGTAGACTTCCTTTCTACGTGCATCGTATACATTTTAAGATTAGTTTAAGCGTTATCGGTTAAATGAATAAATATATCTTTGTTACCCACTGGGCGTCAGAAATCCGCATTATCGCGGGACCGGCGCTCAAGCGATAGACCCAGAAATCCGCATTATCGCGGGGCCCGGCGCTCAGGCGATAGACCCAGAAATCCGCGTTTTCACGGGGCCGGCGCTCAGTGTGTTAAGATACTTTCCAGTTCGACTGAAATGTGTATCGAATTAATTGCGTGCAATTGAAGGGTGCAGGGGAAAAGCAAACGGAGTCGAAAAAATTCATCGCATCGTTTTCACATATGATTTAAATATGGAAATAATTCAACAAATTGAAATATGAAAAATTGTGAAAGAAAACAATCAGTTATTGAAATCGATGAAATTACTGAAAATTTAAGAAACCCTGGATACAGTCGAACGATTGTTCAATTGAGTAATTAATTGCGCAAGTAAAATTATTTACTTTATATTACAATAATAATTAGAAAAATTACAATGAACCTAAACTAACCCCCCCTTACGATAATTTATCAACTTTCTAATTCCCATAAACACATAAAACAGCCGAAAAATAATTGAAGTTCTAAGTCAGTTTTAATTAAGTTTAATTAAGGTCTGAGTTAATTTTAATTAAGCAAGCTATCAAACCGACGTTTCACATACAAAAGTAGGATAATTTTTTTAAAATTCTCATTTCTCGACTCTGTTTCGACTTTTTTTCTGCATCTTTTAATTGATAAATGAGCCATTCCCTCCCCTACAATTTGCTCGTTGCTCGACTATTTTTTATTTTTATTTTAACATAATAAATACACCATTTTTTTATAATACCGTGTGATCGTTATTTTCCAAGCGTAATCCATCGAGATAATGAACGTCTAATGACAAGGAAGATTTATATTACGAGAGAAATTATGTTGGAAAGCGAGGCTATTTGGTATCGATAAGCGAGAGGTACAAATTGTATCTCTTAAATCATAGAACTTCGCTAATGTACCAAATGTACAATGATTCTTTAGTCTCTGCTTCTGAATTTTTTGCTCAATTTTTACCCTTTCGCTTTCTTTCGTTGCTCTGATCGAATTCACTTTCTATACACCTAGCTCCACTTCACTTTCAAATTCAACGAAATTTTGTTACACCGGAAAAGTTTCTTTCAAATAAGATTAAGCACTATTTTGATATACTTATGTTTGAAAAAAAAGAAAAATTTTTCTAAACGATACAACTGTTTAAAATGAGTAACAGAAGCGATAATGCTAGTTGCGCGATGTGAATTGGCCTGATTTTCACGTTTCAGAGTAAAAATGAATTACTATGCAGAATTAGCAAATTTATTACACCGAGGGAGTATAATTTTTGGCTAACTTTATTTTGCTGAATTAACGATACAAAAATTCGTAATTATCAGGTTACACAACATTTTTAACAATATTTATATTCTTTTACTTCAAAGAGAGGAAAAGAAGTACGCGTGATTAGAATACGGACGAGGAAGGAGGATGATTTCTTCGAGCGGAAAAACGCGACCTTTCCGAATGGAACAAGTGTTTTCCGCAGACTGTCTTTGTCTCTTGGACTGGAATAATAACGGCGGTTTCGCTGGCGTACCAATGGCGGAGGCGCGCTTCCTTTCACTGTCATTATGCACGCGTGCTTCTTTCACCTTGGCGGCCGCTTTCATGTGTCGTGAGTAAATCACTGTTTGGAGATCGCCAACCCCATGATTTGCAAACCTAACCTCACCTGTGTCTTGGGTTATGGAATCCCTCTTAACCGCTCCCCACGTGTATTTATGTACACGGTGGCCCAATTTTTCCCGATCAAACAGGGTGTCGTGTAACTGGCGGTAGAAGTGGGCTGGTAATAATTCTACGTGAAAAACTGAATCGAAAATATACAATAACATTTTTTTTATACGAGGCTTTGTTTTCGAGAAAATTCAATTTAAAAATTCGCTACAAGCGGCGTTAAGGAGTTGTTGAAATTGGCGCCCTCGGATCGGATTTTCAAACCCGATTTTCCCAAAAACTAAGTCTTCGATGGAAAAATTTTATTTCACGTTTATTGTTTATTTTTGCGCGAGGAATCACCTTCTGCTCGCTTGCACATTACCTTCGGTCGTACCCTATATATACAGTTGCGATCGTTAATTTCCGGCCACGTTTGGAACAGTGTAACTTTTTTGAAATTAGACAAAATGACTTGAATTTTTTTGAGAAGTTAGAAGGATTAGTTTACTAGATAACGTGTACTAGAAATTTTGAAAAAATTGCAGTTTGTGGGAATCGCGAAGAAAATTGTAAAGGTCACTGTTTACAACTGTTTTATCTGGGTTTGTTGTGAAAATTTGAAACATACGTTCTATAGATCTATGTCAATTACATACAGGCTGAAAATTTCATCGAAATCAGTGGATGGAGAAACAAGCGACAGGCATCGAAAGATGTAAGAATCTTCAGATTTATTACAGTTACAGGCAGAAAATCGTGAAAAACTATGATTTTCACAATTTTTAACAGTTTGTAGCTCATAGCATCCTTAGCCGATTTCAATGAAATTTTCAGCATGTCAGCAATAAGGAATACTTCGTAATAAGAACTTGGTTTTAACATTATTATAATCTTTAATTTATCTGATTAGAATTTTCTATGTTCTCTGTTTGGTTGTCTGTCTCTCTTGGGAAATGTACAATTTGTTTTCATTCTCGTATCTTCAATCGCTGTAAACCGTTTCTGGTAGGATGATTCACGTTTAGCGAGCATGAAAGTCGAAATTTGCATACTGTTCTATTGGAACGTGTTCTACAGATCCCCACTTTTGTATTTGCGAGATTGGAAGTGGATCTGTGGACTTTTGAGACAAGCAGACCCGAAGTACTCGGCTCGTACTCTCTCCAGCACCGTGTGTTCTTGCTTTCATTCTTCCATCCCGCGATCCTACGCAATCCGATTGGGCCAGAAGGTGTCGGACCTTGTTCCCAAGACTTCCACCTTCGTATATGCGAAATTGGAAGAGGATCTGTGGACTTTTGAGACAAGCAGACCCGGAGTACTCGGCTCGTACTGTCTCCAGCACTGTGTGTTCTTGCTTCCATTCTTCCATCCCGCGATCCTACGCAATCCGATTGGGCCAGAAGGTGTCGGACCTTGTTCCCAAGACTTCCACCTTCGTATATGCGAGATTGAAAGAGGATCTGTGGACTTTTGAGTCAAGCAGACCCGTAGTACTCGGCTCGTACTGTCTCCAGCACCGTGTGTTCTTGCTTTCATTCTTCCATCCCGCGATCCTACGCAATCCGATTGGGCCAGAAGGTGCCGGACCTTGTTCCCAAGATTTCCAGCTTCGTATATGCGAGATTGGAAGAGGATCTGTGGACTTTTGAGACAAGCAGACCCGAAGTACTCGGCTCGTACTGTCTCCAGCACCGTGTGTTCTTGCTTTCATTCTTTCTTCCCGCAATCCTACGCAATCCGATTGGGCCCGAAAGTATTGGAACATGTTCCCAAGACTTTCACGTTCGTATATGCGAGATTGGAAGTGGATCTGTGGAGTTTTGAGAGAACCAGAACCGATGCATCGTGGGAGTCCTAATGGAGAGTTCCATTGTATGCTGGAATATTTGGACCTGAAGATCGGTTATCTTTTGTACTGGAGATAATGGAGGGACTTGGGAAGAGTCGGAGCCTATCTGAGGTTATTATCTTGAGATTTTTGTGGATGGAATCTTTGGAATTTTGTGGGAACTGGTTGAACAGATTTGTAAGATGATTAGAGTCATTTGTTAAAGATTGGAAGATATGGCCCCCTTTTTTTTTAGGAATATTCAAGTGAGCGGTATTTAAAGATTTTTATTCTTTGATTTCTGACTGTTTTGTGGGATATGATAGTAAGTTTGTTTATCATGTTTTAGAATAGCAGCATTTTTATGAAAAATTACTTTTGTTTAATCACAATGAAAATACATCATTTTTGAGCATTTTTCTGTTTGAAAAGGAAATTATTTTATTTTTCAAAATTCAGCTTGAGTGCAATATTTTTACTCCAATGCAAAATACTTAATATTAAATTACTTTGAATTAATATTGAAGTAATTTAATTATATAATTACTAAAGAATATTAGATATTTTGCATTGAAGTAACAGTATTGCACTCAAGCTGAACTTTGTAAAAAATAATTTCACATGAAATTGCTGAATTTTCAATGATCGAATGAAAACTCGTTGGACGAAATGTTAAACAAGACATAGGGTAGTTGACATTTCGCGAATCTTTATTCATGACAACTTTCTCGCGATGACACCTTAGTAATTTGGTTTATGGTTCTTCGTCAAATGTTTCTTGCATAATAACTTTCAGGAGAATTCGCACGGCCGTTGATTAGCATCAAATTATTTTACAATGAATCTACTTGCAACATTTGAAGTTTCCAGACATCACAAAAGTTCAAAGGAGAAACTAACAGTGTAAAATATCAAATGGTCACTTAACCACTGCAAAATAATTTTCAGTAATAAAAACTAATGTCACTTGAATATTTCGAATTTCTCTTTAAAAAAATATCAACTTTCTTCGATAATTGAAAATTGTTTAGAAATTGTTACTTTTCCAAATATTAGTAGAATAAATAATAAATATCAATCGAATGATAATATCAAATTTTATTTAAGCAAATTAGAG